ATTGTCTTGGTTTTCACAAATAGCGTAACCGTTCAAGGCATCAGATCCTCTGGTTTGCTAGTAATTCCCGATAGGTTTCAAATTGGAAGGTTCAAAGCTAAATGCTACCTATCCTATGTAGGATTGATTCGTTTTATTCTCTCTTTCTCTCTTAAGTCTTTGTTTTCCAAATTTTCATTTATGTGGGGGATTCTTGAAAAATGATATTGAATGCAAAGTTACACAAATATCTATTATCAATTTTATCAGTTTCATCCGTTCTAAAAAATAATCAACTCTCTTCAGTTTCAGAATTTTATCTTCAATGTTGTAACTCCTTTATTCAATTGTATTAATGAGCAGACTCTTCGTTTATAGGTATAAATAGAAAATCTCTCTCGGTTGGAAAAACACAAGTGAAATACAAGCTTATTCCTTACGAAAAAAAAACTTCTTCTTTCCAGTTTTTAAAGTTCTTCCTTTTCTGATTACATTGAGAGATAGAGTATATCACAGTTAGTTCGTAGGTGGTTAACGTAGTGCAGCGTGAATCGACAACCGATTGTATTCTGTGAATCGAACACCGATCAAAACCTCTTGCACTCCGGTGAGGTAGCGAATTCGATTTAAGGAAGCTGTGAATACGCTGGCTTTCGGTTTGATTTGATTCTCTAATATTAACCCACATAAAATTCATTTGTGCAATATATAGTTGGTTTGATTGAAAAATGCTGCAAATAGATGCATTGAACTATTCAGTAGCTGGTTTCCTCAAAATTGGTTGATACCCATTTGTTTTATATAGTGACTAATTTGTTGGCTTTGACATCGTAAAGGCAAGAAAGTGATATTAGGGTCATTTCCCTCCTGAGAAAACCCTCCTTTGCTCATAATGCATGCTTTTTTTTTGTGGCATTGGCGTTGACATTGCATATATCCTAGTAGATGCCTAAAATTTAAAATGGTCCACTGTATTGGTATACCATTCATCTTCTTTATGTGGATATCAATGTGACACGTACCTCCATGGAGAATTTTAGGCATCTCACGATGCATTTACCTGCTTCCTGCATTGGCATGTTAGTTTGGTACCATATTCTCGTTGAATAGAATGGCTAAATTTATATATGCATGCTACTTCTTGCCCCCATCTTTATTTGAATTTGGGAACCTAAGAGATAAATGGTCTAGTTTCTTTTCAGTTTTCATGCAGTATGATTACTCCAAATTCTGAAAATAGTGTTCAACCAGATGTGACTGGTATTGTCTTTAATTAATAGCTGGATATGTAACTCCTGATTGCTTATGTATCACTAGTTGGAATAGATTACTGCTTCAGTTCATATTTTGAATGTATATCGTGAAACAGAATGATTACCTCTTACATAAAATATCCAAGACATATATGCTGTCTGCCTAAGAATTTATGTTAAAAATGTCATTTCTCTTTTATGGAACGGAGTTTCTAATTTGATAAAACACACGTAACCTTTGATTTTGGATCCAAAAGGCTAGGTGGGATACCTTAGGGAAGAAAAGTGAAGGTATACCGACATTTGGTGCATATAATTCATCCAGCAATAAAATGTAGTGTTTGTTGCATCATGTATACTTTGCCTTACCAATGCTTAGATGTTCTCCGTGTTTCCTCTTGTTATGGCAGTATTTCCTTTATCAGCTACTGCGTGGACTAAAATACATACATTCTGCTAATGTTCTGCATCGAGATCTGAAACCCAGTAATCTGCTTCTAGATGCAAACTGTGATCTCAAGATATGTGACTTTGGGCTTGCAAGAAGTACCTCTGAGACAGATTTCATGACAGAGTATGTTGTAACACGATGGTATCGAGCTCCTGAGTTATTACTTAATTGTTCAGAATATACTGCAGCAATAGATGTTTGGTCAGTCGGTTGCATCTTAATGGAGATTATTAAAAGAGAGACTCTTTTTCCTGGCAAAGACTATGTTCATCAATTGGGGCTTATAACTGAGGTACTTTTCTCCCCTATTTGCTCTATGGAATTTCCGGAACCAGGTAGAATTGGTTAGTTTTAGAAGTTATTCTCTAAGATTTGTTTTTGACTATGATGGCGGTAGACTTGTAATTGACTAAATTTTATCTGAATATTTTTGGAAGCAGCTATTAGGATCACCAGATGATTCTGATCTTGGATTTCTAAGGAGTGAGAATGCTCGTCGGTATGTCATGCAGCTTCCCCAATTTCCCAAGCAGCCATTCTCTCAAAAATTTCCAGATGTATCCCCAGTAGCTATTGATCTTGCAGAGAGAATGCTTGTGTTTGATCCAGCAAAACGTATTACTGGTAAACCTTGTGGATTCGCAACAGTTTAAAGCATTTTAACAATTATTTTCCTCGCCTTTATATTGATTAACAAATCTTGTTGTGGCTTTCTTTTTTAAAGTTGAAGAAGCACTGAACCATCCTTTTCTCTCGAGTCTGCATGAGATCAACGAGGAGCCAACTTGTTCATCTCCTTTCATGTTTGATTTTGAACAATCAAACCTGAGTGAAGACGACATAAAAGAGCTAATATGGAAGGAATCTCTAAACTTCAACCCGGAATAAAATTGGGGTATATTTGTTTTTCTCCTCTTGTTTGCTTTGTCTATTCTGTTACGTGAATAGGCAATGTTGGTTTGCCATTAATGTGAGTATTAAATTAGATCGTCAGGGAGATGTGAGCTTGTTCGAGCCACTGAATGGAGTTTCTTTGCCTCCACAAACCCCGACCTTTTTCGTTATAGGTATTGCGTGTGGACGAGGATAAATGTGCAAATTGGGAAGATTGGTATTTGTATTGAATAATCCGTTGTGCATTTTCTGGATTTCTTTCTTGGAGAAATATGTATTGGATATGTTTGATATACCATACCGGACAATATAATAAAAATAAAATAAAAATTCCTTTTTATCAATTCATATCTTTAACTACTATGCACTTTACACTACCGAACAAGCCAATTGGAGTCGGAAGATCAAAAGCTGCGATGTGATTTAACGTGCGCTTGCCTTCAATTATTTATTTTGTCACAGCTTTTTCATAACCTACAAAATCTAGTTAAATTATTAATTTTAATTTAATTAGAACGGAAAAGTATTTTATTATATATATTTTAAAAAATTATACACATTATGTGATTATGTCTAATTTTTATAAATTTTTTTTTGAACATATTGCTATTTGATACTTTACTTTGGATAATTTAAATATTGTTATTAATTGGATAAATTAATAAGAACAATATTGTCTTTTAGAAGTGTCATTAGGTCTCTAGTTTGGATAAATTTTTTTTTTTTTAGATTTTGATAAAAATTAATGAAGTGTGTGGATGAAAAGTTGTGGGTTTCATAAATGTGATTGAAAATGATTTGAGTAAAAATAAATTTTAAGAAATGAAGATCAAACATAGGTTAAATGAAGAGTTTAATTTATGAAATTGATTGAATGTAGGTTTTTTTTCCCATAAAACTTAAAAATTGAACTTCTCTAAAAATTAAGCCCTTGTTTTGGTGATGATTAAAATTAGATTTTTAATAGATTTTGATATAAGTTGATGAAATGTGTGATTGAAAAGTCGTGAGACTCATAAAATATGTGGATGTAATTAATTGTTGAATTTGATTTAAATTGAAATTAAAATTTTAATTCCTACCAAGTAGGGACTAAATTTTAAACTTCACTAAAACAATTTCAACAAGTAATTTTTTATTAGCCCCCTGTTTGAGCTGCGTTAAAATTTTTATTCTCATTATTCTACTCATTTTCTATCACACATTTTTTAATAAAATAATATTTTTCATCACATCAATAACTTTTCATTTTTTTTCAACCACACATTCTTTAATAAAATAATATTTTTCATCACATTAATAACTTTTCAATCTTTTTCAACCACACATTCTTCATCAATCTACTATTTCAAAATACATCATTTCAAAATAATGTGGCTCAAACGCACACTTAGAATCAAATATACACTATTTTAATCGAAAGAGATCATGCCATTCAAGAAGCGCGCTTGCCAAACACACGTGTAATCATCACAAATGAAGCAAACTAGGATTTTGAGTTTAGACATTACTACACGTGCCCATTAATATATGAAGAAAATTACGAAGTGTTAGGTTTTGTCCCATATCAACCCGATTGGCTTTATTTTGTTTAATCTTTCTTTCAGTGACAAGCACGTGCACTAAAAATCAGCATAAGTGCATTGTCCACCTAAGTCGTGCTCACATGGATACATAAAACTTTTATTTTCTCTAAATAAGTTGTTTTCAAGTGAAAAAACAACTGAATAATTATGTGTAATGAGAAAAATTGAATGATAAAGAATATAAATTTTATGAATAATAGTATTTACACTGGTTTGCTATCGTAATCGTCATACGTGACATACATGTGTTATTTAATAATTTAATATATGATGCAATAAAACACTTCCACATTAATGTATCGAAACATTAATCATCATGTCTGTCACGTAGGTATGACTACTACGGTAATATATATATATATAGGAATGATCTAATGAGCACCGGTGCTCATCTTATCCTAAGCACCGATGAGTTGGCACATTAATTCATTGGTGGATTGGAACTCACAAGTTCCAATCCACCA